CCTCTGCCAGCAATGGCTGTTGGCACCACTGTACTGTCTAAGACTTCCCAGCCACCTCTACTGGGGTTTGCCATGATGGGAAGGGAGGAAGGGAGATGCCTTTTCTCTGAGGAACACTGCTTCTGAACCTCTTGCGACCCCTTTGGTGTTCGAACGACCCTTTCACAGGGGTCGCCTAAGACCATCCTGCATATCAGGTATTTACATTACGATTCATAACAGTAGCAACATTACAGTTATGAAGTAGCAACGAAAATAATTTTATGGTTGGGTCACAACATGAGGAACTGTATTTAAAGGGCCAGAAGGTTGAGAACCACTGCTCTAGATGGTAGTGTGAGGGATGTAGCTCAACTTCTCCATTACTACCATTCTCTCTGGGGCTGCAGTGGGCACCCAACTGTGTCTGCAGCCATCATCTCTGTTCTTCTCCTTGTCTCGCTTCCATATCTCATTCCAATAGGCCCACCTTTAGATGTACCATTGGGTGAATCATTCAGGTATGTTTGTGTGTTGAACAGGGAATCCTTTGTTGAGTTATAGTTGTCTGATTTGTTGTAAATTTAAGGATAGAAACAAAGGAATCTTCTTACTCTGCCATGTGGCTGATGTCACACTATTATTTCTTTTCCACCATGGCTGCTCTATGTCTGGGCTCTTTATTGGTTGGTTTTCTGGTTTTATGATTATGTCCTTTTTAAAGAAAAGCTCATGGATGCTATATTCCCTCCAGTTATTACATGTTTGAAAATGTCTATTTGTGTTTTCATGCTTGAATGTCATATTGGGCTAGTGTAAAGTTTCTGGGTATAGACTTTCTATCTCTGAGAAAGTTGTAAATATTGTTTCACAGTCTTCCAGTATTTATTTTTACTGTGGAGGTATCTGAGCCAAGAGTGATTTTTGCCCTTGTCTGGTGACTTGCATTTTGAAAAATGAACCCCCTCCCCAATAAGCTTTTATTTACCTTTGAATTCTGGTAAATTCACCACACATATCTGGGGTCAATAATTACAAGTATTTCCTAGATTATAAGAGAATCTTGTATAAGAGGATTTGATCTTTCAGAGTTAGGTCTTCATTTCAAAAAAGTTTTTTTATTATCTTTGAATTTTTTCCTATTCTGCTTGCCCTATCCAATATATACACTGAGTGGCCAGATTATTATGACCACCCCACAGTACTTCGTTGGGCCACCTTTTGCCTTCAATACTGCGGTGATTCTTCTTGGCATTGACTCCATGAGATGTTGAAAGGTGATGCGAAGAATCTGATGCCATGCCTGATGAATACCAGCTGCCTGATGGCTCTTTTAACTTCGTCCCACAAATGCTCAATTGGATTGAGACCTGGTGGTTGTGGGGGCCACCTAAGCAAGGTAAAGTCTCCCTCATGTTCTTGAAACCACTCCTGCACAATACGAGCACCGTGGCATGGCGCATTGTCTTGTTGGAAGCAGCCATTTCCATTGGGATACCCCATCAACATGATAGGATGAACTTGATCAGCAACGATACTGAGGTATGTTGTGCTATTCAGACGTTTATAATGGTCTGGCCCTCTAGCAACTTCAGCACAAAATTATAGCTAATTTGCCTACAAACGTCAGGTGGTCATAATAATCTGGCCACTAAGTGTGTGTGTGTGTGTATAAGACCGCCATCTTTGTTGGGTTAATTTGCATAGTCACTCTGATTGGCTGGTGGGCATAGCGGAGTGACACCAATTTGCATGTTTCTTTTATTAGTGTAGATGTCAGATCCCTTTTGTGTTTCTTACATACACTTAATTTTCTTTCTGATACTTATTTTGTTCATAGGATAATTTTATTAATCTTCCTATTAGACACTTAGATTGTCTCAGAGTTTTCACTGTTACAAGTATCCACACACGTTCTTAACAGCAGTGATGTTGCTTCATAAGATCAGTAAAACTGCCCTAATTCTTCCTAAGGATGCTCAGTGTCAAAAACCTTTAAATCAGGTTTGTGAATCCACTTGCCTGTCTTTTCTTTGTATGCAGTCTCGGGATAATCAATGAATGATGAATGATTTTAAGGGTTTCCAGGTCATTATCATAAAAATGAGACCCTAGTTTTGTGACTAAACATATTAAGGAAATCTTCAGATTAAAGAAAGTGGTTTGGTGATGGCTTCTTCATTACTCTCAAAAAAGATTTTGAAGACTTAATGGTAGGGGTGACAAATGGTATGGTCTCTATGTAGGACTAACTGATGTTATCTATTGAGCTGTATATATTCTGTTTATTCCACTAGATCTACTCTCCCCCTAGCTCTGTGTCCGAGGAGGGTGACCCAAATGGACCACAGCAGTGGGTTCTTATCTTTTGGTTTCTTGTTGGAAGCTAATGGAAAGTGCCAGCGGTATACAGTCAGGTGACTCTCTCCATAGTTACTATCTTCAAGTTCTGATGATGGTTTCATCTCCTTGTCCTTTTAGGCGTAGCAATGGAAATGGCTCCATACTGTTGGTAGTTTTGGGTGTCTGCATCATTTCTTGTTGGTTTTTCTAAAATCCTAATGCTTTGCAAGTATGCTATGTTTGCTACATACACATCTAGTAATTTATCCTACATGAGTGTAAAGTAACAGGTATATGAAATTATTCTTTGTAGCACACTCTCTCTCTGGGAAGCATGCCCACACCATTCCCTTCCCCCTCTTCTTCGCCCACTTCTTCCTCATAGGCATGCATCTCAAACCCTAAAGGACATCGGGAGACTTGCATTTAGGAGAGCAATAGGCAGCAGCAGCTCATCCAGGGCTAACCATATGAAACCATCTCCAAGGCCCTCTTTCCTCTGACTTCCCAGAGAACTAAGGCAGACAAGCCTAGGTCTCTATTGTTGCTTCCTCTATGCTAAGCACTTCCTTGTTTCACTGTCCCCAGCTTTTATAAATGTTCACTCATAGTAAAAAAAAAATTATTCATTGCAACATTGTATTTCTAAAGTGAACTATTAAAATATAATGTCCACATACAGAGGATTGTAAAATAACGGTATAAAAACACAGTGGACTATTATGCAACTGTAAAAAACTTAAAACATTCATTAGATATAGCTATGGAATAGTTTCCAATTTATTGGCTTGTTTTTTCCCTCAACCTTCAGTTATTCTTTTATTTTTTATTTTTTAAATATATTTTTATTGATTTCAGAGAGGAAGGGAGAGGAAGAGAGAGATAGAAACATAAATGATGAGAGAGAATCATTGATTGGCTGCCTCCTGCACGCCTCTTACTGGGCATCGAGCCTGCGACCTGGGCATATGCCCTTGACCAGAATTGAACCCGAGACCCTTGAGTCCGCAGACTGATGCTCCATCCACTGAGCCAAACTAGCTAGGGCTTCAGTTATTCTTTTAGTAATTTATTCCTCATACACTCAAGGCCCCCAAAATATTTGTGAAGCCTCATTTATATCTCAGTGATTGTAAAATACAAGTGTTTGTTTTACTATGGTGTTCTTCTAATCTTTGCTGTTATTGTTTTTAGCTTTATTGAGGTTTACATGATATTCAAAAAATTCTACATATTTAATGAATACTTCTTGATGAGTTTGGACATAATTACATCTGTGATGTCATTTCTACGACCAAGGTACTAAGCATATCTATTACCTCAAAAAATTTCCCTGTATTTGTGTGTATGTGTGTTTTAATATATTTTTATTGATGTCAGAGAGGGAGGGAGAGGGAGAGAGAGAGAGAAACATCAATGTTGAGAGAGAATCATTGATTGGCTGCCTCCTGCATGCCCCATACTGGGTATCGAGGCCACAACCCAGGCATGTGCCCTTAACTGGAATTGAACCTGGGACCCTTCCGTCCATAGGCCAGTGCTCTATCCACTGATCCAGACAAGCTAGGGCTGTGTGTGTGTGTGTTGTAGAAACATTTAATATGAGCTCTATCCTTTTAATATATTTCATAAGTGTACAATACCATATTTTTAACTATAGGTAACTATGTTGTATACTAGCAGATCTCTAGAACTTATTCATCTTGTATAATAGAAACTTTATATTATGGAAAAGGCATAGTACCAAGCTGTGGATATAATATGCTACCATATGTGTAAGAGAAAAAATAAAAAATGTATATTTGCTTTTATATATATATATATACACACACACACGCGCGCGCGCGCGTGCGCGTGCGTATCTATCTCTCCATATATGTACATATATGCAACAGAGAGTGAGAATGTGAGGAAGAGAGTATTTTTGGAAGGGTACAAAATAAATGATAACAGTGGTTGTTTTAAGGGAGGAAAACTGAATAGTAAGAAACTTTTGACTATTGTTTCTTTGAATATTAAATTATATGAATGTACTGCTTATTAAAAATGCACTATTTTAATAATAAGTATTCATTGAGAGCCTTAGAGAACCAATGACTAAAGAAGAATTAGAGGAGGAATCCCTAGGTGATGGAAAGAGCCAACAAATTATAAAGTTATGAAATGTTCTAAGCAGTGAAAGTCTCATTTAATTTCTTATCATGGTCCTTTTGTGGGATAATACACTATTATAAATTCCATGTAGAAGTTATTTCGTGTTCAGGGTTGAATGCAGAAGACCATATATGATAAAGATTTGTTTTAAACATGATCATCTTTTATTACTTAAAAAAGCTTTTCAGTTCTTCTGGCCTCCTTCCATATTTACAGAGTTCACTGACATCACTAACAAAGTAGTATGAATGCACAACAATCTTAGTTTCCAGTGAAAGGTACAACTTCATTAAAGGAAATAGGACATGAGGAGACTCTTCAGGAAATTAAGAAGGAAAGAGAAAGACTGCTGGGGAAAACATTCATTCAACTAAAGTTGTTTAAAGTCACTCATGTTTATGATACTCAAAAATTGTAAAAATGGCAAAGGATTACTAGCTTGATTTTTTAAGGTGGTTTTAATATTTCCTGATATGGGTACCTCTCCTAAAAAGGTTCTACAAGACACAGGGAGATTCACTTACCCTTCCTGGAACTGTGCTTGGGCAGACTCCTCCGCTACAAGCGTCTCATACTCCTCAGCAGCAAACCTGTCCCAGTCAGAGGGCTCAGGCATGTCATTCTCCACATCCTGATTGGAAAGAGTACCGCACAGAAAAGAAAAAATAATTAAAGACAAAGAACTGGAGATAGGTTTATGGATCACTGAAAAAAAAACTATCTGAAAATGTTTCATTGTTAAAAGAAGTGCTAAAGTAATAATACTCCTAAAGTGATTTTCCACACCTGCAATCACAAAATTATAGTCTACTGTCCATCAGCTAAATTCTTTAGGTCTACATTCTTTAGCCTTGTAATCAGAGACCTTTTTCTAGACACATCCTCCCTGGCACTTTGCCCAACAGCTATCTGGAGTGACCTGTGGGTTGCATATGACACCTGCATATGCCACCCCTTACTCTGGCAAATTTTTACTGCTTCTTTAAAATCCAGGTCAGCCCTAGCTGGTTTGGCTCAGTGGACAGAGTGTTGGCCTGCGGACTGAAGGGTCCCAGGTTCAATTCCGGTCCAGGGCACATACCCAGTGGGCTCGATCCCCAGTGTGGGGTGTGCAGGAGGCAGCCAATCAATGATTCTCATCATTGATGTTTCTATCTCTCCCTCTCCCTTCCTCTCTGAAATCAATAAAAATATATTAAAAATAAATAAATAAAATAAAATCCAGGTCAGATACCATGTCATCTCTGCTGTCTTCCTGGAAACAGCCCTTCTCCCTCAAATCATTGCTTTGCTATAGTATATGCTTGGTTTCCACCTTTTACTATTCCGTCTTTTTCATCTCTATATACCTATTCTTTATATACTAAGTCTTTTTCATTTCTATATAACCAGTGTCTCTTCAACAGTGTCTGGAGTTTGAGCACTTTCTGACTAATCATTTTTTTCTTTTTTTTGCACATCAGAACAAATTTAATTAGCTCCTCCTATAAAGAAAAGTAAAATTTAAAGGTAAAATTTAACAGTAAAATTTATAACACATATAAAAGAAATAAAGGGGGGAAAGGCCATTTTCTTGTCCTTCTATAATATGGACATCATGGATTATATATTCTAGGTAAAATATGTTTTTCTATAATGATAATGAATTAGCATTTTCCTAGGATGTAGAGTTAATTATGCCTAGAAGAATGCAAATACCTAAAAATTGATCATACAATGTGTTAATTATTACACTTAATCCATTTTAGGGACTCCAACCCCAACCTTTTAACATTCTGAAATTTGCATGCGTTTTTAGACTTACAATTGGCAATGAGTATTTGTATTTTAGGAGGTGATCTTTGTATTCTTACTACTATTTAGGTCAAAAGGTTATGCAACATGTAGAAGGAAAGGAAAAGATTGTAAAAATTTCCTGTTGTACTTCTGTATGACTCAACTGAAACAGTCTTTTTGTATCAACATAATTTTTACTTTTAAAACAGGGGAATGAATGTTGAAGGGGAAGTGGTGATATTCTACTTTTTGTTTGTTTTTGGACATGGGTCGTATGTCCAGGTTTTCTGAGGGTCCATAGGTTTTTGTATAGGGAAGGGTGCTCATCTGTTTTAGGTGTAGAATGATTTCAAACTGATAGTCATGAACAGTGATCATTAACACTTGAAAAAGTGTTACATTATCTGAAGTTTGTTTATCATAGAGAGCTTCTAGTTGTCATTATGATGGGGAAAGCTATTTACCAGGTCATCCCAGAAATGCATGATACAATTAAATCAAGTCCAATATACTTTCTAATACAGATGTACCTTTTGATATATTTTAAAATTAGAAGTTTTTTCAAACACATTTTTTTGTAACTAGTTTCTAATATATATGTAAATGCACATGGGCCATACAATTCACTCAATGATAGGCAGATGTAGGTTATCTAAACTTGATTAGCTGTCTGAACAGATGTGCTCTAGGTCCTTTATGCTCTTTTCAGTATGTGATGAAATGTTTTAAATGTTACCTCTTTAAATATCAAGTTCTTGCAGACAGAAACCATTTTTATCTGTAGCACACAGCCCCTGATATTACAACACTCAAATAGAAGTTAAAACTATACTGTACCTTCTGGACTGCAAAGGGATCTCTCTGTTCATGGTCTAAGTATTTCTCCAGATTAAAGAAAGTGTCATAAAAGATGTGAGCCATTCTGCATCTCTTCAGATCTCGTAGAGTTATTTTGCCTATGTAAAAACACAGGGCTGGTAAATTCCAAGACCTGTTTTGACAAGTGAAAAAAACTTCTACTGAAGTTTAAAAAGTATATGTAAACATTTATCTATAATAATAAAAGCGTAATATGCTAATTAGACCAGACGTCCTTCTGGATGAAGCCGGGGCTGCGAGGGAAGCCCAGGTCCCCGGTGCCAGAGGGAAGCTGGTGCCAGCAGTTGGGGGAAAGAAGGCCTACTCTTGCACGAATTTCGTGTATCAGGCCTCTAGTTTTATTATAAAAGTCCCATTTCTTTCCTTTTTTGAGGTAACATTCACATAACATAAAATTCACTATTTTAAAGTATTTTAAGTGGCTTTTAGTACACTCAGTGTTGTGCAACCATCACCACTATTGATTTCCTTAAAATTTTCTTCATCTTTCAAAAGGGAACTCCATACTCATCAAGCAGTCCCTCCTCCATCTCTTTTTACCCCTGCCCTCAAGCCCCTGGCAATCACTAGTTACTTTCTGTTTCCATGGAAAAAAATCCCATTTCTTAAACAGGATTTGCATCAAGTGTTGGTTCCACACTAATAGTAAAGGAGAAACTTAACTTTATTTTGGAAGCCTGCATGAAAGACTCTGTAAAGTTAAATAATTTAGGACAATCAGGATTACATGCCCCACACTATTACAGAGATGACCAGTGAAAATGGCGCTTTATGCAATGTTACCATCACTGGCTGGCTTCACCAGGTCAAGCATCTGGCACAGCAAATCATGGAATGGCAAGGGCTCGATGCCCATGGCTTCCATCCGTTCACACTGCTCCTCATAGAAATACTCCAGCTCGTACATGGAGAGCACACCATCCCCATCCACATCCATGCAGCGGAACCAATACTCGATGCTAGGAGAGAGGGACACTCATTAGCAATGGCCTGTACAGGTCCTTTATTCATTCAGATTTATTATTGCCCACCTTCTTTTTAAATAAAAGTTATATATGTGTGCGATTGCCTCACACCTGTCAGAAAGGCTATCATAAAAATACCAACAAACAAGTGTTGACGAGGATGTGGAGAAAGGGAACTCTCGTGCACTGTTGATGGGAATGCAGATTGGTGCAGCCACTGTGGAAAACAGTATGGAGTTTCCTCAAAAAATTAAAAATGGAACTGCCCTTCAATTCAGCAGTTCCACTTCAGGGAATATATTAAAAAAAACCTGAAATACTAATTTGAAAGAATATACGCTCCTCTATGTTCATTACAGCATTATTTACAACTAGAGGCCCACTGCACGAATTCGTGCACGGGTGGGGTCCCTCGACCTGGCCAGCAATCGAGGCCTATCAGGGCCAATCAGAGCCAGCTGGCCGGGGGGGAGGGACCGCGGGAGGTTGGCTGGCCATGGGAGGTTGGCTGTGGGAGCGCACTGACCAGCAGGGGGCAGCTCCTGCATTGAGCGTATGCTCCCTGGTGGTCAGTGCGTATCATAGCTACCAGCTGGTCATTCGGGCTACCCGCTGGTCGTTAGGTCGACCAGTCGTAACAGTCACCTAGGCTTTTATATATATAGACTAGAGGCCCGGTGCACAAAAATTTGTGCACTGGGGGGGCGTCCCCCAGCCCGGCCTGTGCCCTCTCGCAGTCTGGGACCCCTCGGGAGATAACGACCTGCTGGCTTAGGCCTGCTCCCGGGTGGCAGAGGGCAGGCCCAATCCCTAGGTGCAGCCCCTGGTCAGGCTCAGAGCAGGGCCGATTGGGGAGTTGGGGCGCCGCCCCCTGTCATGCACAAAGCAGGGCGTATCGGGAGGTTGCGATGCCACCCCTAGTCACGCTCAGGGTAGGGCCGATTGGGGGATTGGGGCACTGCCCCCTGTCACGCTCAAGGCAGGGTCGATGGGGAGGTTGCAGCGCC